GAATTCCAGTAGCAGGAACAATTTCTTAGTGATTGAGGGGGGAAGGCCCACCTCACTGTGGCTGCTTCCAGCCCTGGGTATGTTGTCCTGGGATGTCTAAGGAAGCAGCCATGGGAATAAGCCAGATGCAGCACCCCTCCATGGCCTCTGCATCAGTTCCTCAGTGATGGATGTGACCCTGTCCTTGCCAACTTGCTTTTGGTCACAGCGTTTCACCACAGCAATGGTAACCATGAGCCACAGTGTGGGTGCTGGGTACCAAACTCGGGTCATCAGAACAGTTAGCAATCACTATTAACCTCTGACCCTCTCTCTGGCTCCTGTGGCCCTGGGATAGGATCAAAGCCTCCCCTCCTGGTATTGGTGACAGATACAAAGCAGCCAGCAGCCTGCACACACACCACAGAGGGTACATGCTGCTGAGAGCCGTCAAGCCTGGCACATAACACTTAACCATCCAGCCTGGCTGGACGCCCAGCCCAGGCTGCTTCTCAGCTTCTCAGCCAGTTCCTTTCCTTTATCCCAGTTGCTGGGAGAACTTGGTGGGGTGACCAGAAAGTACCTAAGACAAAAGTTACCAGGAAGCCTTGTTTTCACTGTGGCTCTGGGCCTGGCATCCCCGGGAGAGCTGGAAGCAGGCGCTGAGCTTGTGGAAGCTCCCCCCACACACACACACACTCTTGCTGTGTTGTCTGTGGTAACACACGGGAACCACAACGATAGGTGCCCAAGGACTCACGGAGCCCTCAGTGAGAGCCACATCCCCTCGGCAACAGACACTGAAAATGGAGCGAAGTGAGCTGAGGGTGAGTACTGCACTGATACAGGGAGGATTCCACAGGGGATGGTTGAAAGGCCCATCAAGTCAAGGACCATCAAGATACCATCTCAGAGGAGAATGAGAACTCTGCTTTGAAAATGGGAAAGAATGAGAGTGATTTGGCTTAGTGTGGGCAAAGGCCCTGAGGTTAAACTAGGAGTGGACTGCCTCCTCTCTCTCTCCCCCTATTCTTCCTCTTCCCTCTCTCCCTACCTTCTGCCTTTTTGAGGCCGGATCTTCTATAATCCAGGCTGGCTTCGATATGCTATGCTAACCCAGGCTGGTGTTGAACTACTGCTTTTCTAGTACCCACATCCTGTATACTGCCCCACCCCCTTGGAGTTCATGAGACAATCTCATGTAGCCCAGACTGGCCTTGAATTCACCACACATGTAAGGATGACTTTGAACTCCTCATCCTCCTGCCTCTATTTTCTGACTCACGGGATAGCAGGCACACACTGCCAGACCTGAACTGAGGTGCTGAGGCAGTCAGGGTCTGGAGCATGCTAAGCAAGCACCTTATGTGCTGTGGTTACCGGCGTGTGCTACCGTGTCCTGCTCAGGTCAGGGCATCTGAACAAAGTGGAACCCTGTCCCAAGGAGGCACGGAGTCTGGACACAGTTTTGCTTGTGGGCCTCGGTGGCAGTGGGGAGGGGGATAGGGCAGGTCACCCACAGAGTGGTTCAGTATCATAAGAAATTGAGCAAGCCAGGGCAGGGTTAGCACATGAAGAAACCCAGGGTCTTTCAGTGAAGGCCAAGGCCAAAGAGTTTGGCTGTAAACTCGTGGCAGTGAGAGCTGAGGGCTCATGGCCAGGGACTGGAGTGTGATCTGGAGTAGGCTCCTTTCACAGCCTGTGTGTGGACTCTTTCTACCGTATTAGTCCCAGGGAACAAACTCAAGCTACCAGACTTAGATGTAAGCACATTTACCCTCTGATCCATTTGGCCAGCCTGGTAATTTTTATTTTGTTTTGCTCTTTATTTATTTATTTTTTATTTAATTTATTATTTTACATGTCAATCCCAGTTTCCTCTCCCTCCCTCCCTCCCTCTTACCCTCTCTGCCCCTCACATGCACCCTGACCACCCTCCCCTCCCATCCCCCCACCCCAATTCCACATGTAGGGCAATGCCATCCAGGTGGGGTCATGTAGATCTGTCAAGTCATTTGAAGTAGGGACTAGGACTTCTCTCCTGTCTCTAGGTTAAGGTAGTATCCCTCCATGGGGGATGTGTCCACAAGGTCCTTTTGTGACCAGGAATACATCCTGGTTCCACTGTCTGAGGTCCCTTAGACTGCTCAGTCCTTCTGGCTGAGACCCATATTCAGGGGGGCCTGAGTCTGTCCCATGCTGGCTTCCCAGCTATCAGTCTGGGGGCCTGTTATCTCTTCCTTGTTCAGGTCAGCTGTCTCCATGTGTTTCTGCAACCTGGTCTTGTTCTCTCCCTCTGCATCTGGATTCTAGTTCAACTCAGTGTTTAGGTATGGGTGTTTGCTTCTGTTTCCAACAGGTACTAGATGAGGGCTCCATGGATAAGTTAGTTGTTGATCTCACTATCCAGGAAGGGCATTTATGGTAGCCTTTCCACGGAAGCTCAAATTGTTAGTTGGCAGCAGTCTTGTAGGTCTCTAGACCTTTTTTTAGGTTTAGTTTTCTCTTCAAACCAATAATGGCTCCCTCTTTTATGTTCTCTCTCTCTGTCTCTCTCTCTCTCCTGTCTTCTATTCCTACCCTGACTCAATCTTCCTGGTCGCACGTGCTTTCCTCTCCTCCCCCTCACTTTCTCCTACTTCTCTCTCCATTCACTGCCCCCTCTTCCCCTGTACTCTGGAGAACTTGTCCCTTCCCCCTTCTGTGTGGAACTTTATATGAATCTCTTAGAATACACCTTGTATCCTAGTTCCTCTGGCGGTGTGAATTATAGGCTGGTGATCCTTTGCACTTGTTTTGCTTTTTTTTTTTTAAAAAAAGATTTATTTATTTCATTTTATGTGTATGGGTGTTTTGTCTACATGTATTATCTGTGCACCAATGTGTGCAATGCCCTTGGCAGCCAGAAGGAGGCATCAGAGCCTCTGGAATTGGAATTACCAGTTACCAGAGTCACATGTAAGGCACTATGTGGGTGCTGGGAACTGATGTTGCTATATACCTAAGCTGATCTGAGACTCATGACTTTCCTGCCTCCCTCCCCAGAGTGCTGGGATCATATGTATGCACTACTAAGCCATTCCTTTAGTACATATTAATATTTCATATAAATAGCATACAAAATAATATAGTGCACATATCTATATCTATCTGTCCATCGAGCACTCACTCTATTTGGCATCATGTGTTTTCAGTGCCTAGCACATATTCCTGTCACCATGGCTACCTTGATATTCATTCACCCAAAGACCCACAGAGTACTTACGAAAAACAGGTGTCTCAATTCACAGAAGATGGGGTGGTTGCCTGGACCAGGAGGACAATGGAGGGGCCTGTGCTCTTGCCACATGAGAGGACACACAGGTTCAATCTATGCCTGTCACGAGGATCGATAAGACTGGGAGGTAGGGGGAGCATTTCCTCCCTTGTCTGTCCTCATCTTCATTCTTCTTCCCTGTCCCCGAGTCTCCACTGAGAGTCAGTCTTGCACAGCGGTTCTCGACCTTCCTAATGCTGCAACCCTTTAATACAGTTCCTCCCGTTGTGGTGACCACCTATCATAAATTTATTTTCATTGCTGCTTCATAACTGTAATTTTGCCACTGTTATGAGTCAGAATGCAAATATTTTTGGAGATGGGTTTGACAAAGAGGTCATGACCCACAGATAGAGAACTGCTGGTATAGGATCATATGCAGGCTAGAAACCAGACTACATTGGTCGCTGGGGGGATTCTAGTCAGGTGCTCGATCCCTGAGCCACACCTCTACCCCCTTACTGGGGGATTCTAGGCAGCTGCTCCACCCCTGAGCCACACCTCCAGCCCCTTACTGGGGGATTCTAGGCTCCACGTAACACAAATAAATAAATGACCCAGAGACTGATATTGGGGTTCAAACTTCAACCTGAATATCAGAAAAGCAAAGCAGCTGGCCACTAGCTTTTTACCTCTACCTCAGGGCTGATCCTGTCTCCATGAGCCCTCACCAAGCCTCAAACTGTAACCTTTCCTCATGGCTGTACAAAAGCCTGATACTGAATACTTGCTCCTGTCTTTTATACACCTCTAGTTCTGGGATTAGACTGATTCAATTTTGTGTAGATCTGAGTGGCTTGGACTCACAGAGACCCACCTGTCTATTAATCCTAAATCCTAGGATAAAAGGTGGGTACCACCATCTCCTATCTTCTGGCTGCTGGGATTTAAGGTGTGTGCATGGCTTCTGTGGCTTGTGGCCAACTTTTTCTGATCTTCAGGCAAGCTTTAATAAATCATAAATAATATAGCACTACAGCTTCACCCCTGAGCCATGCCCCAAGCCCCTCACTGGGAGATTCTAGGCAAGGGCTCTACCCCTAAGCCACCACCCCTCCTCCAGCCTTCAACTCACTTGATGTTCTTGGCACTCCTATTCCTGACAGCCATGAATTCTGCAAGCAATGTCACGTTCTGGTGGCATAATGTTCTAGGTGAGATAACCATCTTGCATAACTTTCAGTGTACATGAACATTGGTTTATGAGAGGTACAGATAGGATGGCATGGAATGGACTCTCTACCCAATGCCAGGGTTTCCCATGACTTCTAGAAACCCTTAGCCTCCCTCAGCACACCTGGGCTCAGACTCAGCTTACACAGAGGCCCCAGAGGAGCAGGTGTTGGAAAGATTGTGTGGTCCCTGGGCTCCAGCGCCCAGTGCTTTGAACCATAGTTGCTATAGCGACCACTGAAGCTTCCATGAGAAGCTGGAAGACGACTCTGGTGCCTGAAGAAGTCAACAACACTTAACAACACTGGGAAAGCTGCTGTCCCATGCTCTGATAGTACTTGCAGACAAGCAGAGTGGAAGACAGCATCCTGGTATCCCTGAAGGAACGCTGCAGTAACCAACGCAGCAAGTAACCAAGGGACTCAGAGTCTGAGATACACCCTTCTTCAGAGGGCTGAGCCTGGCCAGCTCCCCAGGGGGCTCCTCAGCTACTGGCCTGAAATCCACAGTTCTCAGACTCTTTCCTGGGGAAGAATCATCCAGGTGAATGGGAAGCATGAGTGTGGGCCCCCTCAGCCCTGGCACTCGCCAGCGGCTTCTCCAGGGTCAGGCCGTCTCCCTCCCAGCACCCTCTTCCAGCAGGAGTGTGGCCATCTTCATCAGTTCTGCCATCTCAGGTAAGGGCAGGCTGGGAGCTTGAGACAAACAGACACTCTTGATGGTGGCTTGACCTCATGGGGTCCTCTGAGAGATGCATGTGAATAGACATAGGCTGGTGCACATAAGAGCTGTTGTCAGGGGTCCTCCCGGATCCTCTTGTTTCTTCACCATATAACTAACTGAGTACAGGTGCTGTGCGTGGCCTGATATTACAAGCAATGTTCACAGTGTCTTGTGTGCTATTCTTTATGCTTTGCCTTGTGTGTGTTGGCTGATGCGGAGGAAGAACTTAGCATCTCACACATGCTTGGCAAGAGTCAGGATGGGAACTTGTGTGCAGACAAGGGCCTTCAAGTGTGCCCACAAATGTTCTACTATTGAGCCATACGCTACCTCCTGCCCAAGCCTTTCTTTTAGAAAAGATTTTTTTTTTGTTTATTCATTTTTTAAAATGCTGTTCTGGAGATTAAACCCAGTTTGTGTTAGACAAGCACTCTGCTAGTAAGCTGCATTCCTGTGTCTACCGTGATCTTTACACATTTAGATTGTGTTAGGCATACTATTAGTGAGCTGCATTTCTGGATCTGCCTGGATCTTTACACATGTATTTATGTGTGGGGTGGGGTGCACATGAGCCATGCACAGAGAACAGCTTTCAGGAGTTGGTTCTCTCCTCCTACCAGGTGGGCCTCAGGAATTGAACTTGGTTCTTTAGGCTTGATGGCAAGTCCCTTCACACAGTGAGCATCTCAATAACCCTATGCTTTATGTTGGTTCTCCCTCTGATCATGTGTCGGCTGCATACAGCTTCATGTTATTCACATTAAATAAAACTACACATGAAAACACCTCACCAGATGGTAGTGGCTCACACCTTTAGTCCCAGTGCTCGGGAGGCAGAGGCAGGCAGATCTCTGTGAGTTCAAGACCAGCCTGTTCTACAAGAGCTAGTTCCAGGACAGCCTCCAAAGCCACAGAGAAACCCTATCTCAAAAAACAAAACACAAAAAGAAAAAAAAAAAAAAGAAAGAAAGAAAAAAGAAAATGCCTGGTTTGCATTAGCTCCCAATTCCCATGATATAATTACTGTCACAGTTATGTTCATGCTACAGGCTGAATTCACTGAGCACACAGCCCTGTCACTAGCATGGTGCACCACAGGACACCAATGTATAATGTCCTTTTTCTCAGCTTGATCCGGACAAGCGGCTTCAAGTGCAAAGCTTACCTTCAAATTTACTCAATTTGCTAGAAGACATGCACATTGAGTGGAGTGTTATCATTTCCCCCTCCAATGTAGAGTATATTCTACCATTCAATCTTTAGAGATCCCCCTGCCTCTGCCTCCCAAGTTCTGGGATTAAAGGTGTGTGCAGGGAGGGCCCTGTTTATCTTTTCAGTAATGGCTGTGTGACAAGTGACTGATGACACTGTCAAATATTCATTATTGTCTGACAAATGAATTGCATATATTCTTTTGATCTTTTGGCTTCTTAGTGCTAGGGACTGAACTTGGAGTCCCCATATATGTTAGACAAGCTTTCCCAAGCTCTGCATGTGCCTGAAAAGTTCTGATGGTGGAGCTACATGCAAGCCCCTGACTTCAGACTTCACTGTGTCTTTTGATGTGTCCCTCATCTTTAGCAAGGCTCTGGACTTGAACTTATTATCTGACAAGGATTTTATAAGCACATCCAAATAGCCTATAAAGTTGATAAGATAGATTGGGAAAGGGACAAGTGTGTGGGAGACAGATACCAGACTCATCTGGTCCTGGACCACTCCCAAGGCACAACCTGAATAGGTATTTTGAGTCACTTATTTTTTGTGGTTGTGGTAGAGCCCCTGCCTAGAATCCTCCAGTGAGGGGTTGAGGGTGTGGCTCAGGGGTGGAGACCCTGCCTAATACTGCTTGAAGTTCTGGGTTCTCTGTCAGCACAGCAATCCCACCTGCTTCACTCTGCATTTCAGAGGAACTGGAAACAATCCTTCAGTGTGTTACAACCAGAGCCTGGAGTGGATCAGCATGTACTTGCACATGACTTCCTTGTTTATCTGGTTTGTAATCAGCTGAGAGTACTGTTAGTGTTTGGTGGGTGCCTTGTTTTGTTGCAGTCCAAGGGGTAAAATCCAGGGTCTCCAGAGTGTTGGGTCCAAGTGTATTATATAAAGAGCCGAATGCTCCTTGCCCAACATGCTTACATTTTATCTGGCTGCTCTATCTTAGCCTGGGCTCATCCTGCTGGGCTGGGCCTGAGGGTATCTTGGGGTGTGGTTTTGATGGAGCTTACACAGGCAACTTCTAGGTTAACCAGGGTGGTTGGTTTCTTTGATTTGACTCTATGTATCTATAAGCATTTTGATGGCTCCAATGGGATGAACAGGGACTCTGGCACTTGGGAGACAGAATACTGAGTGTTGCAGCTCAGATGGGAAGGTATTCTGGCACTCGGGAGCCAAGGAATACCACAGTGAAGTAAGCTTAGCAGCTCACAGCCCTGCTTTGGGGAAAGGCTTTCCCAGTGTATCAGCTCTGCTCTGGCAGGAGAGGGGTTTCCCTGGCAAAGTTGTTACAGTTTGGCTCCAGTCCCAGCCAGAGAGTGGAGTGTAGCCACTTAGCTTTGCCAGCTCTGCTCAGGGTGGTCTCTGTGTCTCTGCTCCGGCAAATGAGGCAAAAGGTCTCACCCAAATCTCATTCAAGAGATGTATTGGGAGTGAAGAATCCAGGAGAGTGGCTGCCCTCTGCCAGGGTGGCAACCCACCCTGAGGACTGCTAGGGAGTCTGAATAGCAACATGCTGAACATACTCGGAGTTTATATAGGACTTCTTAGGGGGTGGAGTTTTCCCAGGGAGATTCCAGGGTGGGGATTGGTCAGATTTCAGTCCCTGAGCTCAGACTGGCTGGATCTCGTTCTCAGTGATAGGTTAGTTTTTGCACAGGTTTAGAGTCAGATTTGGCTCTGGTCTCAGGGACAATGTGTGTTTCTTTCACTGGTCCTTTTAGCCTTTTGTCTCTCATTGTAGGATCAGGGTGTATTTCTTCACAGGCTCTTATTCCAGGGACAAAGTGTGTTTCTTTGGCACTGGTTTCGGGGTCAGGGTGCATTCCTTTGGTTCTGGTTGCAGGGCCAAAGTGTGTTTCTTTGGCTCTGCTCAGGGTGTGTTTCTTTAGTTGGCCCCTTACAGTAACTTTTAGATTTCAATAATTTTGTGTAAATGGTCTTCCTGCAGAAAGAGTTATGTGTGCACCAGGATAGCACACGTGTGTGGAGGTCAGAGGACAGAGATCAGTTCCTTCCTTCTGCCCTGTGGGGCAGGTGGGCAGGCTTGGCAGCAAGTTCCTTTGCTGCTGAGCCATCTTGCTGGCCCCATCTTTCTGCTTCTCCTCTTCCTACTTTCCTCCTCTTCTTCTTCCTTATTTTATTTTTGATATTTAGGATGACTCCAACCTTACAGGGGTCTGATGAGACACAGCTCAGTAGGGGCAGGGCAGACTTCTGGAATCTTCTCTCTGTACCTTACAGATATGGACACAGAGCGAGAAGTTCTGCAGTGTACCGCCTACCCTGAGTTACGGAGCTTCTGCCAGAAACACGGCTTGACATTTGAGGTAAGCGCCTGTGGTCACTAAGGAGTCACACCACCCCTTGTCATCTGTTAGGTGATTTATCTTTAGGTCTCAAAACTCAAAATGTTTTTTTGTTTTGTCTTTTGAGATGAGGTCTCATTTAGCCCAGGCTGAACTCAACTCACTGTGTAGTTGAGGATGACACTGCACTGAATTCATAATTTGCCTGCCTTCACCTCCCAAGTGACAGGGTGACAGGAGTGTGCCACCGAGCCATTTATTCAGTGATGTGGATGGACCCAGGGATTCATGTGTGCTAGGCAGGCACTCTGCCAACAGACCTGTAAGCACTACCAACTGAGCTACCTCTCCAAGAGGTCCCTCTGTCTCTGCCTCCTGAGTGCTGGTATTAAAGGCATGCACCACTGTGGGGTTACCTACAAACATCACAGTCATCAGAGAAGCAAACTGGGAGGCAAGAAGGAACCCAGTTCAGCGAGACTTGGCTGGGCTGGGTCAGACTTCTGGAGTCTGGCCCCAGGCTGTTTATTTTAGGCATATTTAAGTACAGTACAGCTTTGAAAAAAGTTCCCTGGTGACAATTGTCCCAGTACCATGTGCACAATAAAGCTTAAGGAATGATTACATCAAAACTCTTTGCAAAATACATGTGACCTCCACCATGAAGATGGAGTCTACAGCCTAAGGGTCTAGGATCTGTGGTGATCTCTGCCCTCCCCAGACAGTGTAGTGCTCAAGCAGGTTATGGAGTTCATGCGACATTTCCCCTCAGGGTGGGCTCTAGTGATGAGAAACAGAGATGAAGTTCTAGAGAGGGAGAGTCTGGGGTAAACATTGTGGGATCTAGCTGTACAAATAGCAAAGATCACCAGGTAATTAATAGCATCTTCTGCCAGCCTTCTCAGCAGGAAACAGGCATCCATTTTCTCCTTTGAGGACACAGCCCTGCATGATTAACACTCCCATTTCTCCGGTGCCTGTCTTTCTGATGCCCTCTATGTGCCACCATGTCTGCTGTCCTAGTCATGTCTAGGCAAGATTCATTTAATGATTTTATGCAATTGGTTGTTTGTCTGCATGTAAGTCTATGTGCCTCATGTGTGCAGTAACTGTGGAGGCCAGAAGAAGGCGTCAGATTCCCTGGAACTGGAGTTATAGGCAGTTGTGAGCTGCCGTGTGGGAGCTGGGAACTAAACCTGAACCTGGGTCCTCTGTGAGAGGAGCCAGTGCTCTTAACCACTGAGCCATCTTTAGCCCTTCGTAATATTTTAACAAGAGGCCACCTTCTTGCTTTACATTGCTGTCCCCATCTCCTTATCAGTGTTCCTGTGTGTGTGTGCGTGTGGGGATCAGGTGTCATGCTTGGGTATCTTTCCCCAGGTGCCATCCATTTAGCATTTGGAGACAGCATCTCTCACTGACCTGGAACTTGCCAACCTGACTGCCTGACATCCAGCCCTGGGGTCCTCAGCTCTAGGACTGCAGAATATATCACTGACCCTGGCTCTTGCATGAGTTTATGGGATGTAATTCAGGGCCTCATGCTACAGACAAGCATGTCAGAGATCTGCCATTACCCAGCCAGCACCACCAAGCGAGTCGGGGCTAAAGGCGAGCCCCATTCTTCCTGTTGCTGCTGTTCCTAAATTTTATGTATGAATTCACACAGAGCATTCCAGACCAATGTGTCTTAATCCTTGTCCTCCTCTTTGTCCTGGTTAATCTGGAAGTAATACAGTAAAAATAAAGTAGCTTATAGCTATCTCTCTCTCTCTCTCTGTTTCTCTCTCTCATTTATTTATTTATTGTTGTTATTATTATTTTTGTTTTGTTTTGTTTTTTGAGACAGGGCTTCTCTGTGTAGCCCTGGCTGGCCTGGAACTCACTCTGTAGACCATGCTTACTTCAAACTCCATCTGTCTCTCCTCCTGAGTGCTGGGATTAAAGTGAGTGCCATCACCTAGCTCTCAGCAATTGGTCTCAGAGACCATTATTCTTCAAACACCTTTGGGACACAGGTATCTGAGAAGCCACAATGACTTGCTCTATAAGCTGTTTGATGGTCACACCCCTCCACCAAGATTCCCAGCTTCCCTGTTCTCCTTGATTATCTCCTGGAGGAACTGTTTGAAATTGGCAGCACCAGTGACTCCCATCTTCTCCAGGGGGCAGTCAAGGGTGAACTTCAAAGCCAGCCTCTTGTTTTTAGCCCCCTTCTCCACAAGCTCTCCTGAGTTGCCATGGTGGCACAGGATGCACAATGCACAACTCCATTCTTGATAGACTCCTGAGAAAGAACAGGGCTTACCTTGCAAGTATGAAGGTCTGAGTTCGGATCCCCAGTGCCCACACAGAAGCTGGGTGCAGTGACATGTGACTGTAATTGGGGGAGGGACAGGTACAGGCCTAGAGCTTCATGGCCATGCAGTCCAGCCTGAGAGACCCTGTCTCAAAAACCAAGATGTAGAGGAATAATGGAAGATGCTAGACATGCTTGACCTTGAGGCTCTACATACACACCCCTGTGTGCACACACACACATGAGCATGTACACACATATGTCACCAGAACAAAATAGAGACAGAAAGGGAATCTTACACAATGAGGGTTCGTGAAAGCCCTGTGCTTGTCACTTTAACACTTGCTGGTCTGCCTGCTGCCCCAGGCAGATGGTTTGCATTTCTTTCTCTCTGGGCTATAGAACTGATAAAGGTGGAGATGACTCCCTGTACCCTTTGTCTTCCTGTCTGTCATTCCAGCCTTCACTGGGCCAGCCCTGCAGCCTCCCAACCCACTCCTCCACCTCAGCTCTCCCAGCCCCCTGCCTGCCAGTGGCAGAGGTGGCATGGGTGTGGTTGCTAAGGAGAATTGGCAGGGTCACTTCCTGGCTGGGTCACTTCCCGATGGTCTCAACACCCTCCCTCGCAAATCATGTTCCCAGTGAGCTTGGACATGCTCTCCTTTAACAAGGAACAAGGCCAGAAACACCCAGTTTCCTACAGAATTATTCAATTGCTCAAACAGGGTCTCATGAAATCCAGGCTGACACTGAGCTCAATATATAGCTATGGCCTTGAGCTCCAGATACCCCTGCTTCCAAGCGCAGGGATAAAAGGTGTGTCCCAGTCCCACCTGCTAGACAGTGCCGGGCATCGAACACAGGGCTTGGTGTAGCCAGGGCAGCATTCTATCAACTGAAGCTCAGCCTCTGCCCTACCAAGCCCATTTTTGTTTTTTAAGATTTATTATTTTATTTACATGTGTTTGTGTGTGTGTGCAAGTGTGTGAGGGGTTTGGGGGACCAGAGAGGGCTTTGGATTCCCACTGGAGTTCTGAGATACCCAGTGCAGTTCTGGGAAGTAAATTCAGATCTCTGGGGGGAGCAGCAAGTGCTTTTAGTAAACCTTTCTTTTCTTTTCTCTTTCCCTCTCCTTTGAGACAGGGTGTCTATGTAGCTCAGACAGGCCTTGATGTGGTGATATATTATTTATGATTTATTAAGCTTGCCTAAAATTCAGAAAGCAAAGCCAGCCTCAAGCTGTCAGGCAGCAGTGATACAAACCTTTAATCCCAGGAGTCATGATTAAGAGGTAGACCGATCTCTGTTAGTTCAAGGCCACACTGACTACAGAATTGATCCAATCCTAAAAGAAACAGCTCACACAAAGGTGATCTCTGCACCTGGGGTTACACACCTTTAATCCCAGCACTAGGGAGGTGGAGACAGGAAGATATGGCTGGGTGGAGAAAGGAATAAAAGTAGGAGAAGACAGGAATTAAGAGCCTTTTGCCTCTGAGGATTCGTGGAGACAAGATTGCCATTTCAGCTGGCTAGAGGTAAAATCTACTGGGTTAGCTGCTTTGCTTCTCTGATCTTCAGCATGAAGCTTGACCCCAATATCTGTCTCTGGGTCTTTTATTTTTTTGTGTTACACCTTGACCTCAAATTCTTCCCTCCTACTTTAGCCTCAGGAGCCAAAGGGACTTTTCTTGCAGTTCATGGCCACAACCTTCTGAGAGGGGGACCACAAGTGGGAACCCTGGAGGACCCCATAGATACCCTTAGTGTGCATCTGCCTTTTTCTTTTCTCAAAATTACACTGATGAGCCACTTTTTTCCTTTTTCAATTTTTTTCTTTATATATATATATATGTATATATATATATATATATACATTTGAAAATATGCATTGGTGTTTTGCCTGTGTATATGTCAGTATGAAGGTGTCAGATCCCCTGAAACTTGAGTTACAGACAGATGAGAGCGCCATGTGGGTGCTGGGAATTGAACCTATGTCCTCTGGAAGAGCAGCCAATGCTTTTTACCTTTGAGCTTCTCTCCAGCAAAACATGGGCTACCGGGCTACACTTTTGTCTTTTATTCTGGTGCAGAATGGAATCCAGAGGTCAATCATGTGCATTATGCGAACAATCTGCCAACCACCACACCCTCAGCCCCTCACTGGGGGATTCTAGGCAAGAATTCTACCACTTAGCTATATCCCTCGCCTCCAATTTGTCTAATCTTAGAATCCCCCTGGAAGAGAAACTGATTCAGTTGAATGAAACTGTAGAACACACCAGTCATCAGAAACCTCACCCTTCTATTCCCAGGTGGTTGATCTGAGGTGGGGTATCCCGAACACACAGGCCACTGACCACTTGACTGTAGAACTCTGCTTAGAAGAACTTGACCGCTGCCAGAAAACGTCCATAGGACCAGCTTTTGTGGTGAGTGTGTCAGGGTAGGTGGAATTGCCCTTATTCTGTTTTCCATCGCAGGAAAGTGGTCTTTGGCAGCCACCCAACCTGAAGAGAGAGAGAAGTGGGTGGCATTTTTGCTAATATCCTAGTCTCCAAGAACCAGTAATGACAGACATAAGTAATCACTAACAGTACTTGAGTGTGCTCCTCAGAAGGAGCTGGGAGCCAGGCATTAGTAATCAAATGCAGCAGTAAGTGAACTGGAGGGTGTAATGCTGACTTGGAGGGAATTTTCCAGGCCATTCTGAAATTCTCTTCACCTTTCCCACCTGGTCCACTTTACATTTGGGAAATTTGGGATTCTGGAAAACAAGAGAGAAAGTAGAAACACACATCCTTTTTCTGCCTCTGTCCCCATGTTTCTGTTGCTCTGCAATACACACCTCTACCTCCTCTGTCACCAAAATAATCCCCTCTCTGGTTGACAGAGCAGGCTGGTATTATAGCAGGTGGGGCCAGGAAGATCAGTAATTCAAGGCCATCCTTGTGTAGCAGGTTCCAGACCCTGTCTCAAAAAGTGAAAATTAAAAACAAACAAAAAAAAAAAACAAAAACAAAAAAAAAAAAAAAACTAAGCTAGAAGTACCCAGCACTCAGGAGGCAGAGGCAGGTGACCTCTGAGTTTGAGGCCAGCCTGGGCTACAGAGCGAGTTCTGGACAGCCAGAGACACATAGAGAGATGTGTTGAAACAAAACAAAGAAACAAACAAACAAACACCCTGAGAACCAGCAGTTAGGAGCCTGCACTGCTCTTGCAGACAGAGAACCCCAGTTCAGTCCCCTGCACCCACGTCAGGCTGAGGTCTGATGCCCTCTCTGGGCTCCAGGGGCACGGTGCTCATGTGCATACACTTACAGACTCACATGTGAATAAAAACCCTGGCCACATCAAGAGCCACAGACCCTGTGCAGCAATATTTACATTGCCTTAGTCATGGTGAGTGTGTTGGTAGCATGGATTAGTAGTCACCAGATTTCTAGAATGTTCTATAGGCTAGTGTTGCCCCAGAGATTAAGTCTCCCTAAGAAAACAAAACAGAAGAAGCCAGAGGTGCAGGCATACACCTGTCATAGCAACTACTTGGGAGGCTGAGGCAGGAGGATTGCTTCAACCCAGGAGTCTTTTTTTAAAGAATATTTGTCAACAAAATGTCTTCTTTGACAATTTCTTACCTTCATACATTTTATCTTGATCAAATCCATCCCCAACTTGCCCTGCCTGCCCCCTACCCCTCCCAGACTCCTCCTGCCACCTTTGTGTCTTTTTAAATAACCCAAATGAGTTCAATTAGTACCACTATTGTGCCCAAATTTTGTACCCCAGAATCACCAAGAGACCCATTCTGATGCAAAAGCAAAGAACCTTTTATTGTTTACCGAGTTAATGTCTTTAACTCAGACCCTTATTGGTTCATCTCGGCAGGTGATATGAGAAGGACCCCAAGGGGCCCCACAAGGTGGGGAATTTACTGGGGTGTATAAGGAGAGTGTCTAGGGGTACACAATAGCCTCAGGACTGGTGGACTTCCAGGCTTGGGCGACCTGTCCTGTATTGATTGGTCAACTGGTTGTTATGGTCTATAGGCCCTCCCAGGGCGGTTGCTATGCTCTACAAGTCATGTCACTGTCAGCCATTTACCATAAAGCATGCCCAGAGCCTGCCAGCTAACTTCTGATTGGTTCCTTGCCATGTAGTAGGTATCTGACCTCCTAGTGACTAGGAAAGCTACTACAGGGTCAGAAGGCCAGAAACTAAGCACATGTGCTGAGTCAGGGCCTTGGTCTTGCTGGGTCTTTTCTGTAGCCTGTCATGGCTGCTAAATCAGGGGGCTGGGTGAGGGTCAGGTACCTTCATCACCTGAGTGCACACAGGTATACAAGAGAAAGAGCAGCCTTCCAGAGTCCCCACCCTTGGAACAAAGTGATTTTCCCTCCTCTCAAGAGCCCCGCTCCCACACACTGGGTTTTAGCTGTGTTTCCCTCCCCTCAGGACCCCCCCAATACACACACACTGGGTTTTAGCTGTGTTGATCGTGTGTAGGTGTGGCTCCTGTGAGTTCAGGGGTTCATGGCAGTCTCGAGTTCACATCATTCTTGTACTCCCACTTCTGTGATGCTCCTGAACCTTTTGGGAGGATGTTGATAGAGATGTCCTGTTTGGTGCCAATGAGTTGGAGGCCCATTATGAGCCCTCATCTCAAAAGAAAAGGAGAGAAAAGACAAACACTGGCACTGAGCAAGGGCCGAGGCTTGCCTCTTCAGATGTGTCAATGTGTTGTCATTGTGTTGCTTTTTTGTTATCTTGAGACAGGTTTCCCTGTGTAGCCCTGACTGTCTTGGAACTCACTCTGTAGACCAGGCTGGCCTCAAACTCACAGAGATCCACCTGCCTCTGCCTCCCGAGTGCTGGGATCAAAGATGTGCACCACCATGCCTGGTGCTGGGATCAAAGGTGTGCGCCACCATGTCTGGTCATGTGTTAACTTTTAACTACAGTGCTTGCTTCTGGTGTCTTCAAACTGCGTCCTGTCCTTCTCTTTGTGCTCAACTACCAGTATGTTTTAATTATTATTGCTTTAAATTATTTTCACAGGCTGGGGAGAAGGCTCAGTGTGTAAAGTGTCTGATGGGCAAGCATGAGGACTTGTGTTCAAATCCTGAGCAAAGATGGATGGAACCCTGGTACTCACTGAGCAGTCAGTGAGATCTAGGCAGTTGATGAGCTCAGGTTCCTGGAGAGACTGTGTCTCAAAAGATAAAGTGTGGGCTGGAGAGATGGTAAGCAGTGACACATGCCTGCTGTAATGGAAGAGGACCCAGCACCCACATCAGGGAACTCACAAACACCTGTAACTCTATCCTCTTCTGGCCTCTGTGGGCACAGCATCCACAATAGCGCACACCCACACCTGTAAATAAACGTCAAAAAATTACAAATTAGAGAGGGGACTAGATGTCATACTGTGTGAACCTTTGGCCTCCATGTGCACAGGCTACGTACATATGCTCTCTCACACACACACATACACACAGATATACATACACACACCCACTTGCTAAACATGTCCTCTTGCTTACAACTCCCCTTCTCAGTTATTTTTCATGCTCCTAAGCTTAATTTCCCCAAGACCTGACAATCATGTTGAGTTTGCAAGGGAGAACTGGTTTTGGTTTTCCCATTTAAGAAGGGGTATCAGGTAGCCCAGGATGACCTCAAACTCACTGTGAAGCTGAACCTAATCATAAACGCATTCCTCCGGTGTGGGGATGGACCTAATCATAAACGCATTCCTCCGGTGTGGGGATGGGGATGGCAGGCCTGTGCCATCAGCCCATGCAGCTCTGGATATTTATTTGTTTATAGGGGAAAGCAGGTTGCCTGCAGGGGTTGCCTTCCTCCTTTCATCCTCTGAGTTCCAGTGCTCCTTGGCAAATGCCTATACCCACTGAGCCATCTTACCAGGCCCCTCCCCCAAAATGTTTTTTTTTAAACACAAGGAGAAAATATCCCCAAGCACAAACCACCCACGAATTAAAATTTTCAGAGAGGACTAGGAGACGCCACAGGGGAAATGACTCTGAGCCCATACTGCAGGCTGGGAAAGCACACGATGGCTCCAGCTAGATGGGGAAGGAAGGGTCATCCCCAGGCTGCCTCCTCATCTGAACCACCTGCAGCTCCACAGCTGAGGTCTACCTACTCATGCCCCATCCCAGCATTGCCCTCCTTTGTCCCTAGATCCTGCCTACCACTGTCACTCTTGCTAGGGGGACTTTCCACGAAATCAGACCCACACTGTTGCCCTGGAGAGGAGGCTCTGTGGTAAATAGCTCATTAGCAAGTCACAGGTCCCCACGCACCTCCTTTAGAGGCTGTGCCTCACCTCTTGGGGCTATGGCTGCTCCTAGCACCTCCCTCGCTCTGTGGCCCCAGCCTCAAGCCTCTCTCTGAGGCAAGCTGGACCTTGTTCCTGGGAGGCTGCGGGGACCTTGGAGGAACTGCCTGACCATCTGTCACCACAGATTCCTGGACAGGATGTGTGGTCTGTGCTTTCTGCCACTCAAGACACTGAGGCTGGAGCTAGCCTAGGCAACATTGGAGCCCTGACTCAAAACTACAGAAATGTACTTGTTTCTGTCATATGTGCCCACACATGAGCACTCGTGCACACACACATGCCACATGCACACACATGCAATACACACTTGCACACACAGGTGCACATGCGCGCGCACACACACACATGTATACACAGACCTGCCTCAATGACTACTTCTGAGTGCTTTCCTTTTTACTTCTCCCCTCCTGTATACCCTTCTTTTTCCATCTCCTCTCCTTTCCTCCCTCCTCCCCTCCACACTCCTCCTTCTCCATCCTGTAGCTGTTGTTGAGCTCTTCTTTCTTCTGAGATGGTCTTCCTTTGCTGTCCATGTTGTCCTAGAACCCTCACTCCTCTTGCCTCAGCCCCCTCACCTAATGCTGGCATCACCCTGTGCCCTCATGCTTCTGACCACGCTTCTTTGTGTAATTATCACCATGATGTCATGACTAAGTTGGTGTTCAGGGCCTCAGTGTGCTTCCTTCATGGCCCTGGAGTTCAGTGTCAAGTGCGATTTGAACCCATGCTCCATATGTCTCCCTGCCAGGCTCTCCTGGGCGACCAGTATGGCCCCTGCCTGGTTCCCCAACGGATCGAAGAGAAAGAGTGGGAGGCACTAAGGGCCCAGCTGACCTCCAGGCCTCGAAATCTAGAGCTGGTGGCCAGACATTTCCGGAGAGACGACAACGCCATCCCTCCCACCTACTTGCTGCAACCTCCAGGCTCCGTGGAGGCCCCAGGGCCTGAGGAGGCCACCTTGACCTCTGTCCTTCGAGGTGGAGCTCAAGAAGCTTGGAGGCTGGGCCTCATCAGCCAGGAGCAATGGGAGTGTTACCATCGCTCAGGTGAGGCCCAGGGGACCCCCAGGCGTTTATGTGACATAGGAAACCCAAGACAACACACATCCTCCAGGACCTAAAATACAAGTGTGTCATCTTAGTCTATGTCAAATTTCCTTGGCACCCTGGAGATTGCACAGCCCTAGCCAAACCTGTCAGCTTCTAGGACACTCTCTCTTCCTGTCCCCTACCTCTGCCCTCCTGTCTCCCAGATTGATTACCATTCCTAGTTTGCCTGCGACTGAGGTGTCCAAGAATGAATTCATTTATTTTTATATGCATTTATTTATTGGCTGGGGAATAGATGCCAGCTGTGGAGACATGTGGAGGTCAGAAGACAATTTGCAGGAGTTAAACTCATGTCAAACTCAGTGGCAAGGGCCTTTACATGCTAATGAATCTTGATCCTAGAGTGCTGTGTGTGTGTGCTCAGATGCGTGTGCATGCCTGTATGTGTGTGTATATATGTGTGTATGCTCACATGCACGTTTCCATGATTGTGTGTTCGAAGGTGCACTTGGGTGCATGGCCTTAGTTTGTCAGGTTTCTCTCCATTGATTGTACTCTGAGGTAGCCTCTCACTGAACCCCAGCCTCATAGATTAAGCATTAGCCAGTTCCTTCCTAGATCCTTCTCTAGCACGTTTCCAGCGTGCTAGGTTATGGTCAAGCCTTTATGTGAGCACTGAAGATATTAGCTGTGATCCTCATGAATAGATGGGAAACTCTATCCACTGAGCCATTGCCCCAGCCTCTTAGGGGATTTTTATTTATTTGTTTGTTTTGGATAGGATCTCTTGTAGCCCAGGCTAGCCTTGGACCTGTTACATAACCAAGGATGACCTTGAACTCCTGGTCCACCTGCCTCTGCCTCCAGAGTACTGAGAGGGTAGGTGTGTATCACCACACTGGGTATATGTGGTGCTGAGGTGGATCCCAAGGTTTCCTGCACACTAAGCAAGCCCAAGAATGTATGTAGTTTTATTGTACATGCACCAAGACACATTGGTGCATTCCAATTAATTAGAATTCAGATAGTACCAGGTCCTTTCATTCCAGCTTTTTTCATTCTCTCATTTTGAGGCAGAGTCTTAGTCACTCAGGCTAGCCTTGAACCTGTGATTCTCCTGCTTCAGCCTCCCAAGTGGCTAAGATAACAGGCCTATGCCTCCATGCCTGCTTTGGAGAGAACTTTGGGTGATTCTTGTCCTTGACTGGAATGAGTGTCTCCGAGGGCCTGGCTTTCCCATCTGTGGAGAGTTGGGAGTCTCCACTGAGCCCAGAGAGACTTCAAAAATAACTCTGGCTGCTGCTAAAAAACAAGAGCCTCCTGAGACAAATCAGTGTGAGTTCTAGAAACAAGAGTCCATGGGTCACGGTTGGGGAGATAGCTCAGCAGTAGAGCTCTGGCTGCTCTTCTGAGGACCCAAGTTCAGTTCTTTCCTGCCCCTAGACCCTGTCCATCCTCACAAACACAAACCCACACACGCATATAATTAAAAAATAAAGACAAGCCGGGTGGTAGCTATGTACACTTTTAATAGCAGAGGCAGGCAGATCTCTGTGAGTTCAAAGCCAGCCTGGTCTAGAGGCCACACAGATAAATCTTTAAAAGATAAGAGTCCTGAGGTAGCTACAGCACATCCTGGGGCAGGAATCAGCCAGCTATGGTAATGGTGCCAAGCCTGGTCCACAGCTTGTGTTTGAAATAAAGTTTCACTGACACACTCAGACACATTCATTTGGGTGTCATCTGTTGTATTCTTGCAACAGTGTCACAACTGTGTGATTGTGACAGATCCATCTTCATTGGCCCTTTATGAGTGAGATGCCAAGCTTGTTCCCAGGCAGCAGCTTCGGTTTCTACCCAGCTGGTTAGTTAATTCTCAGAACTTGGTAATAATCCTCCCTCTTTCCTCTCTGCCTTCAAAGCCACCTTGTCCCATCACTGTTATCTGGGAGGACAGTCTCATTCACTCACTCATCACCTGTTTCCAGAGGTGAACCTCAAGGCTGAGTCCCCATGTGGACCACAGAGGCTGACACATGCAGGAGCCGAGTGTTTGTTGATTGACTATTCCAGGGGACACTTGAAACAGACACACAGAGATGACTCTCATGGAGCTGAAATTCCCATTTGTAAATCGAACAGTTTAATACTCTCCATGCTCTGTACTGCCACCTCAGTCTAGTTCCAGAACATTCTATCACCTTAGTAGGAGGCTGTTCCCCTGGCCGGGCTGTAGAAAGCCTTTCATCTGCTTGCTGTCTATGCACGTGCCTGTTCTGGATCTCTCTTCCTTCCTTCCTCCTTTTCTTTTTTTCTTTCTTTCCAGACAGGGTTTCTCTGTGTGGCCCTATCTATCCTGGCACTCTATCTGTAGACCAGGCTGGTCTCAAACTTACAGGGATCCACCTGCCTCTGCCACCCCCTGCTAAGATTAAAGGTGTGCACCACCTGGCCTGGACATTTCTTATTAATGGAATCTGATTTTAATCTTTTTTTTTTTTTTTTGAGGCACAGTCACCTTGTGTAGTCCATGCTGGCTTTGAATTTTGTATGCTGAGTCATCAAGATGGCTCTACAGGTAAAGGTGCCTTCCACCAAGCCTGATGACCTGAGTTCAATACCGATGAACCACATGGTAGAAGGAGAGAAGTAACTCTCACCACTTGTCCTCTGACCTCCACACATGCTTGGTGTCATACACACACCCAAAAACCCACCCCCAACTAGCTTACTAAATAAATAAATGTAAAAATAAGTCATTGTCATGTAGCCCAGGTTGGCCTCATACCAGCAATCCTTGCCTCAACTTCCAGAGGGCTGGGATTGCAGGCATGCCCCACCCTGCCTCCAGCCTGCCTGTGGACTTTTGTGTTGTGTGTGTAATGTGTACAAGATTTTGCGGGCACACTCAAGTGGAATCCACAGAAGCTCATCAGCATTATCCTTTGTCAGTGTCCACCTGATTCCTTTGAGATACTGTCTCTCCTTGAACCCAAAGCTCACAGTTTCAGGTAGGCTGACTGGCCATTGAGATCCTGGCATGACATCAGAGAGGTTGGTCTCCAGTCTCCGCAGGCATGGTGTGTAAATACTACTACCACTCACACACACACACACACACACACACACACACACACACACACACACACAAGTGCACATCCCATGTGGGCTTCTGCAAGCTGCCCTGAGCGACTGTCCCATTTGTTGATCTTGACAGCCCATGTCCCTCTGGAACCTGTCGTCCTGAAGCCCCTTGGGGACCCTGATGATCCCTCTTATTCTTTGTTTTGCAGTCATTGAGTGGGAGATCGAGCGGGGTCTCCTGAGCTCAGCACCAGGGGCCCAGGGAGCCACTGTCTTCCTGAGAGATGTACAGGACCTCAGTAAACATATCTTGGATGATTGCTCTCTGAAGATGGTGGATCGGCTGGCAGATGGTTGTCTAGACACCAATGCCCAGAGTCTTCTCCTTGGCCTTAAGGGACGCATACTGGATGCTCAGCCTGGAGTCTTAAAGTCCCACCGACTGCCCTGGAGCCGTGACTTGGTCAACCCGAAGAACAAGGCTCACGCCCGCTACCTGAAGGAGCTGAGCGAGCAGTTTGTGGCCAGGACCACCCATCAGGTCCTGGAGCAATTGCGAGAGCTGGAGTCAGCCAGACAGGAGCTGGGCTGGCTCTACCAGGAGATCTGCCACCACCTCTGGAGGAGTACAGAGTCCACCAGGATCTTCTGTGGCCACCAGGAGCTCCTGGCCCAGCTAGGGCAGCGGCTCAGACAGGATGACAGCCAGCCCCATACTCCATTGGTTCTCTTTGGACCACCAGGCATCGGGAGGACCTCCCTCATGTGCAAGCTCGCTGAGCAGGTACCAGGGCTCCTTGGCCACAAGACTGTGGCCATTCTGAGGCTGTTGGGGACATCAAAGATGAGCCTGGATGCCCGAAGCCTCCTCAGGAGTGTGTGCTTTCAACTGTGCTTGGCCTACGGGCTGCCACTGCCCCCAACCCAGGTCCTGGAGGTCCATGCCAGGATGGGCCACTTCTTCCACACTCTCCTTCACACTGTGTCCTGTAGAAACTTTGAGTCCTTGGTTTTGCTACTGGACTCAGTGGATGATCTGGATTCCATATGCCATTCTTGGAGGGTTTCCTGGCTGCCCCTCAAGTGTCCCCCAAGGGTACACATCATCCTTTCTACATGCTCAGGCCAGCAGGTGTTACACACACTGCAACAGACCCTCAAGGACCCCAGTGCCTACTGGGAAGTGAAGGCCCTGTCTGGGTGTCAGGGACAAGAGCTTATCCAACTGCTATTTGCTGCGGAAAGGAGAACGCTGAGCCCAGCTCAGAGGGACATCCTCTGGGCCAGTCTCCCAGAGTGTGGCCACCCAGGGCGGCTAAGGCTGGCTTTTGAGGAGGCCCGGAAGTGGGTCTCCTTTACTGTGCCTGTGCCCTTGGCCACCACAGTTGAGGAGGCCACACACCAACTCTGCATCCGCTTGGAAGAGACACATGGACAGCTGCTGGTTGCCCATGTGCTGGGTTACATTGTGTCTTCCAGGTAAGTCTGCCTACCTCCTTCCCTCTGTTCCTCCCTCCCTTCCCCCTCCCTCCCTCCTTTTTTGTTGGTTGGGTACTTGTGTATGGTGTGAATATGTAGAGCCACTGGAAGATGTAGTGACCTGCTCTTTAAAATCTCAGAATTATTCCCTTGAGACAGGGTCTCACACTGTCCCTGGAGCCAGCAAGCCCAGCCGGTGTATGACCATACCCACATAGTCACCCCCTTCCTTTCATGCAGGGATTTGGACAGAATCATGCCTTGTGGAGGTTAGGCACATGCTGTAGGCTGAGCCTTGGCCCAGCCCTGTGTGTTGATTTTGTAGCTTGATGCTTTGCTAAAGTTTTTCAGCTCCAGGAGCATCCTGTCTTAGGGTCTTTTACATACACAGTCATGCCCATCTTACACTGCTCTGACTAAGCTTGCAAAGTCTGTTGGGTGTGAGGAGAGTGGCATGCTTGTCTTATTTCTGATTTCAGTTGGCACTTGCACAATGTGGGTTAGTTTGTTGCATGTAGCCATTATCGCCTATTACCTCACAGTTGAGGTGGCTGTCTTTGACTGCCTTGACATGAGGAGTCACCTGAGAGGAAGCCTTAGTGAGGCTGTGCATGTATGTCTATGTCTGCATACACAGGTACACTCTGTGTATGTGTATACTTGAGAAGGCATGTGTATGTGCTTACATGTGTGTGCATGTCTCTGTATGTGCATGTCTTCTGTGTGTGTCTATGTGCATGTCTGTGAGCATGAGCATGCATGTGAGTGTGTGTGTGTGTATGTTTTGGTTGTTTGTTGAAGTAAAAGGACCCGATCAGAACACAGCAGCAGTATTTATGAGCTGGGCCTGGACTGGGTGGAAGGGAGGAGAGCCAGATGAGCATCAACAGTGAGCAGGTAGCGTGGGTGCCTTCAGTCCTCTCTTGCCGGTGACCGTGGCTTCCTTGCCGGGGTGGCCTGGGACTGTCTGCATACAGAGCCCTCCCTCCTTGTGACCAGCATATTTTGTTTGTTTGTTTGTTTTTTGTTTTTTGAGACAGGGTCTTTCTGTATAATCCTGGCTGTTCTGGAACTCACTACAGATCAGGCTGGCCTTGAACTCAGAGAGATCTTCCTGCCTCTGCCTCCCAAGTACTGGGATTAAAGGTGTGTGCCACCACACAACAGTGGTTTGCAAAGAAACAAGAATTTTAAAAAAGATTTATTTATTGTATATATAGTGTTGTGCCCACATGTGTGCCTGCACTCCAGAAGAGGGCACCAGACCTAATTACAGAAGATTGTGAACCTGGTGGTGTGGTGCACACCTTTAATCCCAGCACTCTGGAAGACAGAGACAGGAAGATCTCTGTGAATTTGAGGTCAGCCTGGGCTACATAGTGAGTTCCAAGACAGGCTCCAAAGCTACATAGAGAAACCCTGTCTCAAAAACAAAAACAAAAAAAAACAATCAAAAAAGGTGCACACCACCATGCCTCACTATTCCCTAAGCAAAAGCAGTCTAGGACACCCACACATGGGACTCACAATAAAACAAATCTTGAGGGGGGGAGAGGGAGAGAGAGCCAGACAGAGAGGACTACTGCAAAATATTCAACCCTGGGGGAGTCTTGACGGAATCTGCAGGCACTTTGTCACTTAAGACAGGGCAGGAGCTGACCTTGACATTGGTGAGTGGTGTCCAGGGGCTCTGCCAGTAGTCTAGAGTAAAATGATAGTGTACCTTAGAGAGCTATGTGCACATGTATATTACATATAATTCCATGCAATTCACAAGGAAAGATGACACATCAGTAATTTCATGGCTGGTATGAATTTATCAGTGACATCTTCATGTAGTAGAATATTATAATGTGAGCAATATAAAATGATTAATATGGTATGATGTAGGAACATAACCAAAATTATATTGGTATCATAGTAATAATATTGCTAATATATTTATCATGTTATAATGGTAATAATATACAATTAATTCAACTATTAATATATTTAAACAGTATAACAAATTTTAGGGTTTTTGAGACAGGTTTTCATTATGTATCCCTGGCTGTCCTGGAACTAGCTATGTAGACCAGGTTAACCTTGAACTCAGAAATCCACCTCTCTCTGCATCCCAAGTGCTGGGATTAAAGGTGAGCATCACCAATGCCCTGCCCTTCAGCCCTTTTAAAAAATTTAGAGCTGAGCAGTGGTGTCATACACCTTTAATCCCAGCACTTGAGAGGCAGAGGCAGGCAGAATTCTGTGAGTTCAAGGGCAGCCTGGTCTATAGAGCGAGTTCCAGGACAGGCTCCAAAGCTACACAGAGAAACTTGTCTTGAAAAACAAACAAAAGATTTTTTTTTAGCCCAGGCTGTCTTGAAACTCATTATGTAGCTCTAAATTCTCCTGCCTCCACTTCCCCAGTGCTGGGATGACGGAGGTGCGCCACCATGCCTGACTGAGACCCCCCTGAGCCTGGAGAGTGGCCTGTGCAGGGCTCTGCAGATGTTGTGAAAGGGAGTTGGCTGCAGTGGTCTGCACGGGGTCCCTGATAGAAGCAGGTTTCTGAGCGTCCCCCTCACAGGGCTGTCACAGGGTGTTGTGCGCCTTGCTATACAGGTACGGCCTGTCGGAGGCGGAGCTGAAAGATGTGCTGTCTTTGGATGACGAGGTCCTGCAGGCTGTATACCAGGACTGGACACCGCCCAGCAAGGAGCTCCTGCGTTTTCCACCTCTACTGTGGGTGCGGCTCCGCCGGGACCTGGCACACTGCTTGACCAGGAGGCCTGTGGATGGCTGCACACTGCTGGCCATCGCGAACAGGTAAACCCTGACAGCAAAGGCTCACAGCCAAATCCTTGGCTTCCTGTTCTGGGGTAGTCATGCAGTCTAGCACAAACCAATCCCAGTGGGAACCCTACACACCTAATCTGTTTGTTGTGTGAGAATGTTTCAGTGTTATGTGTAGTTCTGTGGGATTCTAGGCAGGGGCTCCATCCCGGATCCACAGGCCCTTAGACTTTTTATCACTGTGTGTGTGTGTGTGTGTGTGGAGAGAGCGAGCACGTGTGTGTAAATGTGGTGCCTTCACTTCTGTGTGCATTTGTGAAGGACAGAGGTTGGCCTCAGGTTTGTATTTGGAGGTAGGGCCTCTCACTGAACTTGAAGGTGGCCAGTTCGGTCACACTGGCAGTACAATAGCACCCTGCTGTCTCTGTCCCTCTCTAGCACCAGGGTTACAGGCGCTTCCCACCTTGAAAGGGTTTTCCATGTGCGCTGGGGGTCTGAACTCAGGTCCTCGTGCTTGCACAGTAAGCACTTTACCCACTGAGCCGCCTTCTCTGCCTCTTTTCACCTTTTGGTTTGCCATGATGTCTTAAGTTGCCAGTTTAGTCTTGAGCTCCCGATTCAGCCTGGCCACACTTGACTTCAACTTGTGGTCCTCCTGCTACGATGATGGTCTTGTGCCACCTACTACACCAGATCAAAGGTTCTTTTTTTGCATTTATTTATTACTTCTGTACTCGTGTAGGTGTGGGTGTGTACCATGGTGTGTGTGTGTAAGTCAGAGGACAACTTGTGTGAATCAGTTTTTGCCTTCTGTGATGGAAGTGACAGGGATCAAACTGAGATCATGAGGCTGGGCAGCAAGCACCTGTATCCACTGAACCATTTCATACATCCCCCCCAACAGCAAAACTTTTTAAGAGAAAGAAAGAAAAAAGAAGGGCCGTTTTAGAGATTGGCATTAAGTGACAACAGGACATGGTATGGACAGTCTCCAAACTTGTACTATCCCTGGGGTCATCAGTCTGGGCCCTTTCTCCACAGGCAGCTGTCTAAGGTGATCCGGGTTCGATACCTGTCTGGGCCTGAGAAATCTAAGAGACATAGTGTGCTAGCTGAATTCTTCTCTGGAGCCTGGAGTCAGGGCACCAAGAAACTTATCACCCTGCCACTTGTGGGGAAGCCACTGAACCTGGACCGAAAGGTGAAGTCCCTGCCCACTCCGTTCCCAGAGCCACACCCTGACATGACTGTTCTTTTCCTTATCTCCCTCTCAAAACACCCCACTTCAGTTCTCATCTTCAGCGACAAGGTGACCCTTCATTCCCAGGATGTAATTCTAGGTGCAGGGCTCAGTATACATGGTGTGTGTGTGTGTGTACTGTTTTGCATTAAGTATTAATGGCCTTCTTGCCATTGATGAGGATAAAATCAAAATGTCAATCGGCTCAGGTGACCCTCCTGTCTCCTCCTGAGTATTGGTAACTGCAGATGAGTTTCATAGTGCCTGACAATGCCACTGCTTCGACATATTTTACCAGACTCCTACTCATCTTCCGAGGCCTAGTTCCAATGTCCCAGATTTAGCAGAACTTTTCCATTTTCCTGCTGTGCCTCATCCTTGAACTGCTCAAGGCCCAGGTCCCTCCATCTGGCCCAGCCTGGCTGTAGGAGTTGATGGGTATCTCTTTTTGCCACTATGTCCCTGTCCCCTCCAGCACCATCTGGTGCCAGCCTGGCCAGTATTTGTGGAGGAAGGAAAACACACGAATTCAAGCCCAAGCTGATGCCCTTCCCCACTTCCATTAGGTGGCTTCGCAGCCACTGTGGTTCTCAGGCACAGTGGCCAACTGGAGGAAGCTGACAGAACTGCCTTTCCATCTACTGCATGCAGGCCACATGGAGGAGCTGAAGCAGGAGGTGCTGGGTAAGGGTTACCATGACAGAGGTCACAAGGGCCTTAGACACCCCCCATCCACCCATCCATCTACACATCCATCCACCCACCCACCCATCTACCCATCCATTCATCCACCCACCCATTTACCCATCCATCCACCCACCCATCCATCCACCCACCCATTCATCCACCCATCCACCCATCTACCTGTCCATCCACCCACCCATCCATCTACCCATCCATCCATCTACCTGTCCATCCACCCACCAATCCATCTACCCATCCACCCACCCACCCACTCATCTACCTATCCATCCACCCACTCACCCATCTACCCATTCATCCATCCATCCACCCATCCATCCACCACCCACCCATTTACCCATCCATCCACCCACCCACCCATCTACCCATCCATCCATCCACCCACCCATTTACCCATCCATCCACCCACCCATTCATCCACCACCCACCCATCTACCCATCCACCCACCCACCCATCCATCTATCCATCCATCCACCCACCCATCCATCTACCCATCCATCCACCACCCACCCATCTACCCATCTATCCACCCACCCACCCATCTACCCATCCATCCATCCACCCACCCAACCATCCACTATCCATCCATTAATCCACTCACCCATCCATCTATCCATCTACCCATCCACCATCTATCCATATATCCACCCATTCATCTATCCACTGAACTATTCATACATCCATACATGTTATTCTCAAGGGCTAGTCTTCATTTGAGAAGATGGACAGATGGATGAATGAATAGAAAGCTGGCCAAATGGATGAATGAATGAGAGGTAGAGAGGTGGAAGGATGGGCAAATGGAAGTTGGTACAGAAGGGAAAATTACAGAGTAACAGTGTGTCTGATAAATGAATAGATAAATGGACATGTAGATGGATGGATATAGAGGGAGATGGATAGGTAGATAGATAGATAGATGTGTAGATAGATAGGTATACAGGTACATAAATAAATGGGTGGACCCATAAATGGATTGATGGAATGATAGAAGGGTGTATTACGTGTATGTATTGATGAATAGATGGATGGATGAGTATGTTGGTAGATAGATGAGTGTATGAATGGGTAGACGAATATAAGAATGGATGGACTGGTAGATGGATGGAAGGACAGACTGATGGATAGGTGGGTGGCCGGGTGAACAGATCGATAGGTGGATGGGTGCTTGTCTACATATCTATTCCATCCATTTCCCCCCACCTACCACCCGTACCTATGATTTTCAAAGGACAGTCTTCCTTTGGGAGACACTTGGCAAATCCTGGGGACATTTCTGAGAGTCATACTTATAGGTAGAAATGTCAGCAGCAGCTGGGGTGGAGGCCAGGTCATGTTCTATCAATCACAGCTCAGCGCCCACCAAAGAAACTATCATCCTCAGTGCCAGATTTTCTGAGTTTAAGAACCCCAGGGAGAAAGGGAGGCCATTCTTGAACCTCAGAATGAGCCAGCAGGAAGCACTGGCTCATTGTCTTTGTCTCCACAGGGAACATGGACTGGATCTCCTGCCGGGGTATCTCTGGGGGCATTGAGGACCTGCTGGATGACTTTGACATGTGTGCCTCTCACATGGACTCTCCTGAGGTTGGTATGGTCAGAGAAGCCCTCCAGCTGTGCCGTCCTGCTGTAGAGCTCCGGGGCATGGGTGAGTGTCCTGGCCTGACAGAAGGGTATGCTCTGCACTGCTCTCCAGAAACTTGAGAAACCCATTTTTCCCAGGGAACTATAAAGTTGATTTTTCTACCAACCTACACCTCCATCTCTCAATCATTCACTCATCCATCCATCCGTCTCTCCATCCACCCATCTACCTATCAATCCTCCCACCATCATTCACCCACCCACCCACCTACCCTCCCATCCATCTACCCACTACCAATCTATCTATCCATCCATCCATCTGCCATCCACCCATTGATTATCCATCCACCCATCCATTCATCCATCCTCCCAACCATCTGTATGTGTCTCTCTATCCACCCAATGTGTCACTTGCTTGTCTAATTTCATGACATCTCTTACAGTACTAACCTGTAGAATTTGGAATGCAGGCAGGAAGAACTTTGGAACAAATCCTGAAAAACCAATGCTGTCTCTCCCTCTGGACCCACATTTTCCCTTAGACAAGTCCAGACAGGAAGTATTTCAGGGGAATAAAGAGAATTGTGCCCAAACTTAAGTGACAGGAGATAAAAATGAGTCCCATGAACTTTTTTGTGGTTGTTCAAGACAGGGTTCCCCTGTGTGGCCCTGGCTGTCCTGGAACTCCCTCTGTAGACCAGGCTGACCTCAAACCCGCAGAGATCCACCTGCCTCTGCCTCCTGAGTACTGGGATTAAAGGCATGCACCACTACTGCCCCATAGATTTTTAATTGATGAAATTCAGAAGATGAGAATAATCACAGAGGTCAGGAGGATGGACCAGTCTCAAAGGTCAGGAACATGGCTCAGTCAGCAAAGTACCTGTCATGAGAACTGAAGGACTTGACTTCAGATCCCCAGAACTCATGTAAAAATCCAGGTGTGGTGCTGCACATCTGCAATTCTAGTGCTGGGGGTGGAGTGGAGGCAGGAGGATCACTGGGTCTTGCTGGCCAGCTACTCCAGTTGAACCCTTGAGTTCCAGGGTCAGTGAGATCCTGATACCAAAGCTAAAGCGGAGAGTGATCAAGGAAAGACACCTGATGGTGGTGACCTCTGGCACCACACACATGCATACATGTGAGCATGCACATACATGAGCATGCAAATGAACATGTGGGTATACACACACAAATTGCACATATACATACATGAACATACACATACTCAAGACACATGAGCATGCATACACAAGGGAATGCAAACACAAACACATGAGCATGCACACACAAGCTGCACACATGCATACATGAACATGCACACACACAAGACACATATGAGCATGCACACACATGGGAATGACCATACACACAGAGGTATGCACACATGACATATGAAGATACACACACGAGCATACATACACAGAATAATCACTGTAGGCAGATGGGGCAGATGAACCTGTTTTCCCAGAACACAGGAAACTGAGGTTGGAAAATTATTACAAGTTCAGTGCTAGCCTGGACTACATAATGAGTTCCAGGCCAGTGTGTGTGAGATCCAGCTTCAACAATCCACACACATGTATGCACACAAAGGAGAAAGCACATACTCTAAGAAGATTGTTTTTCCTTCCTTTCAAGACAGAGTCTCACTGTGTAATTCAAGCTGATCTCAAAGCTCCTGTCTCAGTCTTGTGAATACAGGCTGAGCCACTATGTGCACCTTTATAAAAATTACTCCTTCATCTGGGCTTGAAGGATATTGAAGGCTTGTCAGTTGGTCCTTCAGATGGTGTCTTGTTTTATGTGTTACCTTTTATTTACTCAAGTACATTTATATTTTTATGTTATGTGAGTGTGTGTGTGCCACACTGCACATGTGAAGATCAGAGGACAAAGTTGCAGGATTCTGTTCTCTCCTTCTGTCATGTGTGGCCTGGTTGACCTTTGTCTGCTGAGCCATCGTGCCTGCCCCAATATAGCATTTTATTTGAAAGTAAAATTGGGGGTGGGAGCTGAGGTTGAGCTTGGCACTGGAGTCCCAGGCTACAGCTTCAACACTGGAGGTTCCCAGAGGAACGCCCAACCTTCCACCTGATTCAACAGGAGACACGCTGGACAGCAAGTCTGTACATTGGCGTATACCTGGCATCTCAGTACTGGGGAGACTGAGGCAGGAGGGCCAGGAGTTCAGAGCCATCTTCAGCTAACTTCAAAGCTAGAAAGTACAAGGTCAGCCTAAGCTACATGAGAGTCTGTCTCAAAAGAAAAACAAAAACTGACAGAACCAGGTATGGTGGTGCACACCTTCAATCCCAGCAACTGGGAGGCAGAGGCAGGCAGATGAACTGCTATGCGTTCAAAGCCAGCCTGGTCCACATAGAGAATCCCAGGACAATTGAGCTACGCAGGACACCCTATCTCAAACAAAGGAACCATGACAACAACAAAACACCCAAACAAACAAAGAAGTGGCAGTGAACACAGATGTAGACTTTGTCTTCAGTGTGGCACACCAGGGACAAATCCATCAGTCTGGTGATGGGAAGACTGCCCCAGTGAGGTGTTCAAGGGGAGGAACAAAAGAAAGCTGAGCCTCCCTGGTGCAGTGGGGCCTGTCTGACTGTCTCAGGTCCAGTTCTGCAGGATCCTGTTGGCACCAGGGCAGCCGAATGCCACAGGGCACTGTGTTCCTGAAACTTGAGGTAACCCCAAAGCAAGAATAAATCAGAAGAGTGGAGATGGAGGTGCAGGCCTGTCATCCCAACCCCCTGGAGATGGAGGAAATCATGAGTTCAAGGTCTGCCTCAGTTACGTAAGACCCTATGACAAAAGACAAGAGGGGGGGGTGGAGAAAGGGAAGAAGACCACAAGGAGGAAAAACATAGGTCCTCGGGCATGACTCAGTAAAGTGTTCACTATACAAGCCTGAGAACCTGAGTTCAGATCCCCAGCCCCACTTCAAAGCTCTGTGCTGCAGTATGCACCGACAGCCACAGTTAGGGGTAATCAGGCAGGTCCCAGTCTCAAGGAATGTGTGAGTTTAGTTCGGTGAGAGATCTCACCTCAGAAAGTAAAGCTGAGGGACCACCTCCATGGCTCAGCAAATAAAGACACTTGCTGCCAAGCCTGACAACCTGAGTTCAATCCTAGGACCCATATGGTAGGAGGAGAGAAGTGATTTCCACAGGTTATCCTCTGACCTCCTCATATGCACCAGAATATATGTGAGCATGTGAGTGTGTGTGTGTGCACTCATACACAAAGGAAGAAATGAAATGAAATTTAAAGAATTAAACTGTTAAACAATTCAAAGAAAAGGTGGGTGGGGTTTTTGTTTTTGTTTTTGTTTTTGTTTTTGGAGGCAAGCTGTCCTGGAACTAACTCTGTAGATGAGGCTGGCCTAGAACTGAGAGATCCACTCTGCTCTGTAGTGCTGGGTTTAAAGGTGTGTGCCACTGTGGCCCCATAAGTTTTTGAAAGTATTTAATCTTAGGGTTTGTCAAGTCATACCTCTGTGTGCATCCTATGTGTTGTTCTTTTGCTGCAGCTAATGCCTAAGAAACACAAACACGAGACTCAGTGCCCACGTGGAGTTTATTGAGAGAGGGGAGAGAAAGAGGGGATAGCTGGTGGCCAACCGAAAGGAGGGGGGAGCAAGAGAGAGCAAGAGAGAGGTGTGCTTTGCGTGCTTTGCGAGCTTGCTTTAAAAGGAGGGCTTTGCGCATGCAAGTCCTCTGGCAGTCAGGTAAAGCTTGAGCCGCCAGGTAAGGCTGACTTAGCGATGACATGGCCATGATCGTCCCGCCCATCATCGGGGGGTGGGGTTCAGCTGGCTGCTAGTTCCTAACACTATGGATGTGTTAGATTGGTGTGTCCAGTGGGTGTCTTTGACCTCTGTGAGCTCTGTGAGTCTGATGTGTGTGCCTGATGGTGTTTGTCTGATGGTGCTGTGGTGTGTGTGTGTTATGTGTGTGTGTGTCTGATATGTGTGTCTGATGTGTGGGTGTTTCTGATAGGTGAGCCCAACGAGTGCATCATCTTTGATGGATGTGGAGCTCCAGAGATCTCTGACTGTCTCTACCTCCTGGTTATAGTGTGCACCTCCTCCAGGCTGGGCTTTTGCCAAGGTGCTGGGATCAAACTTAAACCCCCACGTTTGTAAGGCCAGCAGTTCATCAGTGGGCATTGTCACCTGCTTAGACACTCTGTGACATTAGGAACCATTCCCACCCTCCTTCCACACTGTGACTGATCCCTATGATACCCTTGGTCATCATCACCTGCCCAGGTCCTGCCTCCTCCTCCTGAGCTGCTTTCTACCTCTGAGAACCTGAAGGCTCTACACACTCCCTGTAAATTGTTTGAGGCAGAATCTCATGTGTCCAAGGCTGGCTTTGAACTCTGTGCAGTGAAGATGACCCTGCATTCCTAATCCTCCTGCTGTGTACACCACTGCTTGTTCACTTGGTGCTGGGCTGGAATCCAGGGCTTTGTACATTCTAGGGGAGTGCTCTACCTTCTGAGCCACCCCCCCAACACACACACACACACACACACACACACACACACACACACACACACACACACACACACACACACACACACGCTCAGCAAGATCTTTGCAAAAGCTCCTTCATTTACAGCTCCAGGTTCCCCCAGGGTGGGGGCAGTGCGGTAAAGAATATTACCACCAGAGGGCGGTACAGCAGCATGTGTTCCCAGAGCACTTCCCTATCTACCTTGAGCATGGCCACCTAGTAGGAATAGGAATGCCCCCCCCCCCCCCAGCCAATGCTGCAGGAACCAGTGTGGCTTTCACAGAGCCATTTCTGATACTCCATTTTAATTCATTTTTCTAAGTTTCTGCAGGTGCCCATGCCGGGTAGAGAAGTTGGATCCCTGAAGTTTAGGTTACAGGTGGATGTGAGCCCCTTGATTGTGGATGCATGTTCAAAACCAAGGAGAATTCTCCCCAGTCTTCTCCATTTCAGAAATGTTCTGTTTGTGTGTGCCCATGTGGTTAGATACTCATGTGTGGGAAGTCAGAGGACAGCTTGAGGGAGTTGGCTTTCTCCTGGGTCCTGGTTATGGAACTCAGGTCATCAGGCTTGTTAGCAAACACATTTATCCACTGATAAACTCTAGTTTCTGTTCTTTTTCAGCCAGGGACATGCTATTCAGCTGAGCCTGGCTTTGAGCTCTTAATCCTGCTGTTTGAGCCTCCAGAGAGATGGATACCAGGCATGTGCCACTACACTGAACAGAAGTGCCCATTCAGTGGCTGTGCTGTGCAATGGCCAGACAGATGACATGCAATTTCCCGGCAAATTAAAGAGCAGGGAGGAGGCTGAGGGCTGCCAAATGGGCTGGAGAGACAACTTACTCAACAGCCTGGGGTGGTGGGACTGGACTGGACAGGGAATGAATTTGACAGAGGTGGCATTTGAAAGCTGGACACACTTTACCCATCTACTGAGCCTCCCACCCTCCTTGTCTTTCCTCTTCCATCTGTCTGTCTATCTACCCTTCCAGTCTTCCCTCCAACCTTTACCAATCTCTCCATCCATCAGCCTGCTCATTTGTCCGTCAGTCTGTCCATTCATCCGTCAGCTCCCACCCTCACATTCATATGTTTTCCCACCCACCACCCATCTTTCCATCCCTCCTTGAATCCATCCATCCACCTACCTTCCATCCATCAGTGTACCCACACCCACCAATCCAGCCATCATCCCCCTTCCTTCCCACACCCACTCACCCATGCACCTGAATCTCAGCTACTTAGGGAGCTGCAGAGAAAGGCCCTCTTGAGCCCAGGAGTCAAAGCTAATCTGGGCAATAACAAAATGAGTTAATAATTAGTTAACTCACTGATGGAGAAGTGCCCTTTGGAGGAAAATGAGAAAGGCTCAGGAAGAGCTCAAGGCAGAGGAGACATGGACAGCTGGTGGCTACCCTGTGTGCTGGAGGCAGGGGGATGGATGGACACAGTGAGGCAGGAGGGTGGCAGGGCCTACAGCTGAGGTGTCCCAGCTTCTCTTCTGCGGTCCTGTAGGAATTGGGGCTCATGAGGTGTGGAGGTTCGGCAGGAGGTGACACCTCTTTTTTATCACAGAGAACAGCGTGCTGTACAGCGAGCTCCTGGCCAGGCTCCTCTTCTTTGCCAAATCCCATCCAGTGGTGATTGGACAGCTGTGCCAACAAGCCCAGAGCTGGTTCCGTGCCTGCCCACACCCAATGCTGGTGCCCCTAGCAGGGTTCCTACAACCCCCTGGGGGACGACTTCAAGCCACTCTCACTGGATGTCACAAAGGTGAGTGTCCCCAACATCACAAAACCACACCAGCTCACTCTGTACTCAGGGGTCCAGATGCCAGATATTTGGAACTGCTCTCTGGGGCTCCCCTCTGCCAGACAGGAGGCCCCAAGGCACCATTGTTATGACTAGGCTTCTCTGTCCTGGGGGGCTGCAGATTACTACTGTAAATGCTATTCATGACCCTGGAGTTGGCAGACGCCCTTGAGGTTGTGTCCCAGAGAGCTGCTGCCCACAGAGTTCTACAAGCTGGAGTTTCGGTCTGCAAGTGTGGTCTGAAGCGGACTGGCCTAATAGGGTGACAGGGACTTGGACTAAGACGTCACACTAGAATGCCAGGGGAAAGAGGACTTAGGCATTGACACACATAGTCACCTTGCCTTCAGTGTAACTCAACCACCCACATACCCACCATCTACCTGTCTGTGCACACAGAATCCCTTCATCCACCTACCCACCCATCTTCCCTTCCTTGCATTAGTCTCATTCAGTATCCACTCTACTACATTCCATATGTTATTTTTTAAGATTTCTTTTCTTATCCTGGCTGGTGGCAATGTTGTGCCCAAATTCTGAACCCCCCAAATCATCAAGACACCCAGACTAATGCAAAAGCAAAGAGTCTTTAATTAATTAACAAGTTAACTGTGTTAACTCAGGTCCTCCATCCATTAGATACAGTGGCTGGGGTGAGAGGGACCCAGAATGGCTGTGGGGCAAGGAATATATTGGGATAGAGCAAGGGGAGTGTCTGGAGGTTCATATCAGTCTCAGGATTGGTGCACCTCTGAGCTTGGGCTACCTGTCTTGTGTTGATTGGTCAGTTGCATCTGCAGGAATGGTTGCTATGCTCAGAGGCTCTCCCATGGCAGTTGCTATGCTCTGTACTCTACCTTAACCAGAAAGCCCATCCAGAGCTGCCAGCTAACTTCTGATTGGTTCCATGCCACACTGGCTTCCTAGTGACTAGGACAAGGTCAAAACTCAGCACATATTGCTGAGTCAGAGGCCTACATCTTGCTGGGTTTTTCTACAAGCTGTCATGGCTGCCAAAGCAGGGGGCTGGGTGAGGGTCTGGTCCCTTCAGTGGCACATGCTTTTAACCCCAACACTCAATAGGCAAAGGCAGGCTGATTTCTTTTCTTTTTAAAAAATTTATCTCTCTCTCTGTCTCTGTGTGTGTGTGTGTGTTCACAGCCATGTACCAACCCCACCACGTCACCGCTCCACACCCCCCACCCTTCTCCCTCCTATCTCAGCATTCCTGTTAGCTCTCATCCATTGAGACTCATGGGCGGCCTGCTCAGGGCTCCAAGCTGCAGTTCCTTTCATCCCACTCCCCAAGCAGCTTCCTCCACAATAGAAAAAACGGTACCGCTCAGAGGCTCACAGAGGAAATGACTCAGCTCTGCCCTGCTGAGGACTAATGAGAATGGCTGTGCTGGTTAGGAAGACCCAAGTGGAGCAGTTGAACTGGAGCCCATACAAGTAGCTTAAACAGAGGCACTTGGGGGGGGGGGCGGGGCAGGGGTGAGGATTTGTTCATTGGCTGCCGCAGCTCTTACGGTCATAGTGGCCTTCCAGTCAGTGAGAAAGGGTGGGGGTGGGGGTGGTAGGCCTCTTCCTATTAGAGGCAGCACCTAGAACTTGTTTCTACTCTTATGTCGTTGATTAGTACTAGGACATCTCTGAAAAGTTTCTGCACACCGATAAACCTCTCTGCCAACACAGCAATCCAAATCAAACCGAATTAGAAAAAGCCCACATTTAATGGATACAAGGCTCCCAGATGGTTTTCTAGCTCCCAGAGAGGAGCTGGAAAAGAGAGATGGGACTACCATGCATCTGTTTTCTGGGGGACAGTTTAAATACACTGTGGGAGTGGTCTTGAGCATCTCTAGGGGAGGGGTCATCATTTGGTGGGCTTTCTGAGATGCAGAAGTGTTTTGAGGAAGATGGGGGAAGGGGCTTGGGTGGAACTTCCATCATAACATTCCAGACTCTTTGGGTATATGGATGCCAGGGGCTGGGGTGAATCTTCCACCAGAACATCCTCTAATTGTAAGGCTATGAGAAAATATTCTCCTTGTGTGAGCATAGATGGGTATAATCTCTGTCTCACTCTGTCTCTGTTTCTTGTCTCTCTCTCTCCCTCTCCTTCTCTCTCTCTGTTCTGGGGATTGTGTAGGTAACTACGTGCTCAGATAAAAACACATGAATGTTGGGGCCTTCTTACTAAATGAAGAACATAAAATGGCTTTGAGTACAGCTAGAGATGAATCAGTGATGCTGTGACAGGTTAGTAATGTCTGCCTTGGCATAGGCAGGGGAGTTTACCAGTGAGAAGCTTGTTCCTATCATGTGCTTTCTGTGCTTCCATTGGTCGTGTTAGGGAATGAGGAGGGTCCACCCCCATTCTGAGCTTCTGTTTCCTTATTTGTTTAAGTGGGGGGAAATGCGAGTTAATGTTTAAGAAAAACAAAGAAAATATGGGTCTGTATAGCTGAGCCAACTGTGACTTAACAGCCTCCAGCAACCAACCACTTCACATCTGGAGAAACTAAGGCATGCAGAAGGAATAGGACCCATGCAAGTGCAATCAGAAAAGCCTGGTTTCTCCATGCCTAAGCTGGGCTTTTTAAAATTTCATTAATTTTATTTTTATGTGTGTCTGTGCACCATCTGTATACCTAGTGCCTATGTAGGCCAGAAGAGGGACTTTGGGTCCCCTGGAACTGGAGTTACAGATGGTTCTAAGCTGTCAAGTAGGTTCTGGAGATCAAACCCATGTCTCATGCACAAGCAGCCAAGGCTCTTAGCCACCGAGCAGTTCTCCATCCTCTCTCTCTCCTCTCTCTCTCTCTGTATGTGTGTGTATTTACATGTGTATGGGCACACATGCTGTCATGCATGTGTGTTACAAGCAGTTTTCCTGCCAGCCTGGTCCCATAGCCCCACAGCTGTGTCAACCCCAAATAGCACACAGAGATGTTGTATAGATATAAAGCTGTTGGCCAATGGCTAAAGCTTCTTATTGGCTAGCTCTTTCTTAAATATTAACCCATTTCTATTAATCTAAGTGTTTCCATGTGGCCTTATCTTACTGGAGAGAGTGTTTGGACCTTCTTCCTCTGAAAGTGCATACATCTTGAATCCTAACTACTACTTTTCCCAGAATCCTCCTTGTATCTTAGTCCCGCCTATCTTGCTTTCCTATTGGCCAACAGTGCTTTATTCATTAACCAATAAGAGAAACATATTTACAGAATGACATCTCGCATCATCTCCTCTTTTCTGTCTAAAATAAAAAGAAGGGTTTTAACTTTAACATAGTAAAATATATAAGAAAACAGTTATCAAATAAGAACCACAGTTAACAATATTTAGTCCATTAACATTTAGCGAGATTTAAAGAAAATATTCCATCATCTATTCCATCTTTGTGAGTCTAAAGTCTTATATGTAACTTATTTTTAATCCTAACTAAGGAAAACAATAACCATAACTATCTGTCTTCGACTCTCTCAAAGACCACAGACCATATATAAACTCTAGAAATGACAGAGACAACTTACTGCCTGGTCAGTCACCTGAAGTTCTTCTGTAAGTTTCCATCTTCAGCCCATAGGCCATAGTGTGTCTGGCAGACTCCTCAGCAAAGCAGGAAACTTTAAACTGTCCACCTGTTTTGGAAGTTTATCAGTCACTTTTGTCTGTGTCCTGCAGACTGTCTGGCAGACTCTTCCATGAAGCAGGAACTCTGTAGCAATGTCCATCTTTAATCAGCAGTCACTTTTCTGTGGGTCCTGCATGTCCAGTTTATATAGCATAAAGTCAAACAGTCCAGACAAGAGTAGTATCTTGCCCAAATAACTAGTCTTGAAAACAAACTCCATAACGAGTTTCTTTGATGTCCATCTTCCTTTCTGACGCAGGTGGTGTTGCCAGGAGCAGTTACGTCTCACTGTTAAGAAAAACCCTAAACCATTTTAAATGCCATATTCTGTAGGTCTTTGAAAGGTTTGAAGAATGTTTATCTGCCTCAAATACATCTCTGTATATCTAGAAAACCTAAGTAACCTAACTATAAGTTTTGACTATTATAGGTGACCATTTATAATCTGTACTAAATTGTACATTACATTTTAAATGAGCTATATTAACACAATACCTAAATAAGAGAAATATACATATCACAAAATTGACCTTAAATTTGTATCAATAAATGAAAATCTATTCCAAAACAAAGTATTCACTTCTATACCATAATCCCCTTTTAACCTTTAAAAAGAGATTGATTGTGATCATTAATCATTTATAATGAAACCCATATAAATGAAAACAAACATTTATAAACAATATTTGGGAATTTGGACATCATTCTTTTAAACTGCTTTCTGCTGGTAGCAGGTGCTGTCTTGGGGATCCTAAGAAGATGCAGAAATCCTGGCTGTAGTCTGCAAGGCCATCTTGTCCCAGCTGTTTTGAATGTTGGATCACCTGGGACACTGCCTCAGGGGGTCTGGTTTGATCAAACCATGTTAGTCTGGAAGGAATCCACAGCTTTTCATTTTCTGTGGAAACAAAAATAGAAATTCTTTTCCCCAGTAACCTGTCCTTAAACTTACATTTTGAAGTTAAAGCATTTTAAAAAATAGATTGAATTAATTTAGCAGCATTGATAATCAAGTACATTGTAGCAATTATTTCTTCCTTAGCAATTGAGCAATTCAAAGACAACACAATAGCATACAGTATTTAGACTCTTTACCTGTTGAGCTGTCTGTCTGTCTGTCTGTCTGGTACAGGGTCTCACTTGGTATCTCAGGTTGGCCTGGAACTCACTTCATAGCCCAGGTTGGCTTTGAGTTCCTGACAATCCTGGCTCAGGCTCCTGGGTTCTGGGATGCCAGGCTCTGGGCTTAGAGACTGTCAGTTTCTGGTCCCAGCCCTGGCTTGGACGTGAGCCTGCTGGGCAGCTCTTACAGTAGTTGGCCACCAAACCATTAGAGCACTCTGATGCCAGAGGCTTTGAACACTGTAGGTTCTCTCAGCTATGTGGCTGTGCCTGTTACTCTCCTTGTAGTGGTGACAAAATGAAAAGGAGGGTTCCATCCACAGCTGCTATGCATTACTTGACAATGGTGATTCTGGAAGGTGCCTGGGGTGTTGTCACACTTCCAAGACCCACCTCCAAAGGCCTACTTCCTCGGGCTGGGCCCATCCCCTGAAACTTCTAGAACCATCCAACAGCACCAACAGGAGTCCTAGGAGCTGTGGGGGACTCTCCACATTCAAATGGTGACATCTGGTCTGCACCACCAGACACCAGGCATATTTTTGTCCCTAATTGCTGCCTCTAAAAATGTAGGGGAAAATGTAGTTATGCAGAATCCCTGGGCACAGGACTTTCCCTGGGTGAGGACCATTGACCAAGCTGTGGTTTGGGCTATTTTCCTCTTTTAATTTGCTAGTTGTCTTCCTTCCTTCCTTCCTTCCTTTCTTTTTTCTTTCTTCCTTTCCTTCCTTCCCTTCCCTTCTCCTCCTCCTCTTCTTTTTGTTGGGAGATTTCAAAACAGGATTTCTGTGTGTATCCCTTACTGCCCTTCCACTCTCTCTGTAGACCAGGCTGGCCTTGAACTAAGAGATTCACCTGATTCTGCCTCTGAGTGCTGAGATTAAAGGTGTGCACCGCCACTCAGCTTCCTTTTCTAATGTATATGTATTTATTTTTAATAATATGTATATGTGTACCTATGTATGTGCATGTGGGGACAGTGCCTTCAGAGGCCAGACGATCCCCGGGAGCTGGAACTAGAAGTGGTCTTGAGCCTTACATCAGGCAAGGCCAAGGGGAAGTCACTTCTTCAGCCCCTCTGCTGTCAAAAGACAACCTTGCTGTTTTATCTTTTTAGATTTCCTTATGTATCTATACAAGTGTATGCATTGAATATATGTACGGACAGATAGGGGCTGCCTTGTGGGTGCTGGGAACTGAACCCTGGTTCTCGAAACCGCTGAGCCATCACTGCAGTCTGCCTTCAGCTTTGTTTGAGGCAGTGTCTCTTGATCACTGCTTTGTACAGTGCACTGGCCTTCAAGTTCCCGTTCTCCTGCCCCTCCCTTCTATCTATAGGAGGCTGGGGCTACAGAAGTGCATCCTACTGTATCTGACTTTACATGGGTTCTAGGATCCAAACTTTTGTCATGAGGCTTGCACAGCTAGTGCTTTGCTCACAGAGCCATCTCTCTAGCCCCATTTCCCATCATAGCCTGGGGATGGTGTTGCTGGAGTTTCTTGTCCCAGCTGGCCCCACTGCCCTTCAGCCCCAAATGAACACACAGATGCTATATTAGTTATAATAAACTGTTGGCCAGTGGCTTGGGCTTCTAATTGGTCAGCTCTGTCTTAATTATTAACCCATTTCTATTAATCTGTGTATTTCCACATGGTCTTGGCTTACTGGAGAAAGCCTGGGGCATCCTCTCTTCCCAGGCTCTACATGACCACTCTTCTGCCTATGTTTCCCAGCATTCTCCTCATCTCTTAGCCATGCCTATACTTCCTGCCTGGCCAATCAGCCAGTCACTGTTTTATTCATCAACCACTATATATACAGAAGGATATCTCCCATCAGGCTGGTGAGAGGGCTCAGTGGGTGGAAGTGCTTGCCATAAAACCTGATGACCTGGGTCCAATCCTGGGGACTTCCATGATGGAAGGGGATGAGTGACTTCTGCAAGTTTTCCTCTAATCTGCACTCACACACGCGCATGCACACACACACACACACACACACACACACACACACACACACGAAATGAACGTTAATTTTTATTTCATTTTAAGGTGCTGGAGAGGTGGCTCAGGAATTAAGAGCACTTACTGATCTTTCAGAGATCCAACTTTTAGTTCCCAGCACCCATGTCTAGTGACTCACAATCTGCCATATGTAAATGGAGGCTTTTCTGTCTGGCCCAGTCCCATAGCTGCTTTAAAATAATCACTCAGAGGCTTAATGTTAATCACAAACCATTTGGCCTATTGCTCAAGCTTATCACTAACCAGCTCTTACAACTTATTTCTACTCATCTTCATTTTGCCACATGGCTTCCTAGCATTACCTGTTCTCTAGAACATCTTGTTATGGTGGCTTGCTAGTATCTGTCTGATTCTGCCCTTCTTCTGTATCTCTGCTTGAATTTCTATCCTGGTTCTATCCTGTCTTGCTATAGACCAAAGCAGCGTCTTTATTAACCAATGGGAATAAAACATATTCACGGCATACAGAGGGATGATCCCACAGCACCTGCAACTCCAGCTGCAGGGGAATCTGATGTGTCTAGTTTCTGTGGGTACCAGCACTTGTTTGTGTGTATGTGTCTCTCACATACAACTTAAAGTAAAAATAAGGCTTTAATAAAAAAAAAAAAAGTTCATGACACAGGCAGTCTCTGGGTTGCCCTCTAGAGTTTCTGTCTTGGCTGAGGCCATGCCATAGTGTCCAGGTCCTCACTGTCACCTTTGTGTGTCTGCAGGCATCACTGCCGTAGCATGGAGCCTGGAAGAGAAGTTACTGGTGGTGGGCACCCAGGATGGCATCATGACAGTATGGGACGTGGAGGAGCAACAGGTGGTCCACATTCTAACAGGACACACAGGTGATGGATGGAGCGACTTCCGCACACACTGATGTTCCTGTGCTTTGGGGTTTGCTCTGCATCAGTCAGCTACGGCTGCACGAAATTCACCTCATGCACAGTGGCTGCAAACAAGTTTTTATTAAAAAATATATATATTGGGGTCAACAGCTGCAAAGATTGTCTCAGTCTTCCAAGGATCCTACTTCAGTTCCAGTACTCATGTTGAGGGCTCACAACTGTGTAACTCCAGTTCCAGGGCATCTGACACCTCCCAGCTTCTGGAGCACCTACAGACACAGGGAGACACATATACACACAAAAGAAAATCTAAACAATATTTCTGGGAGGAGGCAGGGCTGGTGAGATGGCTCGGCAGGTAAAGGCACTCATCAATAACCCTGATAACCTGAGTTAACTTCCTGCAACCATGTGGAGAGACCTTCCAGGAGAAGAGGACAACTCCTGCAGGTTGTCCTCTAACCTAAACACAGACTCACAGGCACACACACACACACACACACACACACACACACACACACACGAAAGATATGTTTTTGAAACTTTTTTTGCTTTTATGTTTGTGTTTATTCTTGGTTTTCTTTCTTTTCTATCTGGTTTTTGGAGACAGGGTTTCACTGTGCAGCCCTGGCTGTCCTGGAACTCACTCTGTAGACCAGGCTGGCCTGGAACTCAGAGATCTGCCTGCCTCTGCCTCCTGAGTACTGGGATTAAAGGTGTGAGCCACCAGACCCAGCAGTTGCTTAGATTTTTGAAACAGAGGTAGAAGCCAGGAGAAACTGTCCCCAGCTAACGCCCTCCCACACTGTTCCCACTGCAGCCGAAGTGAGGTGCATTCGAGTGTTTGCCCAAGGGACTCTGGCCATCTCTGCATCAAAGGACCACACCCTGCGCCTGTGGAGCTTGCTCTCTGGCCAGGAGAAAGTCACCATTGTGGACAGAGGCTCGCCAAATCCTACAGAGTCTCAGAGCGGGGATCTCCATATAGATGAGATAAACAAAGTCATATACTCCATCTCTAGCGCAAAGGTAACAAACTGAGGGCTCTGTGTGTGTGTGTGTGTGTGTGTGTGTGTGTGTGTGTGTGTGTGTTTGAGTGTGAGTGAACAGCACAACTCAAGAGAAGCTGGTTATGGTGGGACACAACTAGAATCCCAGTACTTGGGAAGCAGAGGCAGGAGGATTGCTGTTTGATCCATGCTATCTTGTTTGTTTGTTTTTGTAAAAGAGTAGGTGCTGGATAAATTGTTAGCTAAGCCTGAGGGCCTGAGTTTGAATCCCAGCACCCAAGCACAGCCAGGTGGGCAGCATCAGTGATCCAGAGCTGGGGCTGCCTGGAGCTTACTGGCTCCCTGCACAACCCAGCAGAAGAGCTACAGGCGTGTTGAGAGACTGCCTCAAAAGAGGCAGGAGTGGTCGGGAGACACCTGTGGGCTCAAGACCGATTTTAATGACTGGATTCAGTCCCCAAGCCCAGAGGATGAAGTGAGATAATGGTGTAGTGTAGTGGTGACATGTGAAGGTATGTGGGTGTGGGGGGCACTGTGTTGTGGAGCACAGAGAACA